AAAAACGGTTTGCTAAATGGTACAGATAATTTTTTTAAATTTATCTGTCACTGTCAGGTTTTTTTTTTATCTTTTACAATTTCACCATTAACAAAGTTGGCCCAGCAAAGGTATAATAAAAAATTCATTATAGTATTACAGATGATTAATTAGATGATTACAAGTAAAACTGTCTGCACACATGACATTTATTACCTGCATATGATCTTTTAATGTGTTGTTCAACTAGCTGATGTGAGATCAATGTGAAAATGCAGGTATAAGGTCTCCAGATTGGCTCAGTTATAGAAACTGTGACCCAGACGTTGTGAGCTTGAGCCTTGGGCATGTCACTAGCTGACAGTGGCCAGGAGTTCCAAAATGCCACCAGCAATAAGGTAGGAATAAGTCAGCCAGGTCCACCTATGCTCTTAGTGAAACAAGGACTCCTGTGATGTAGACATGCAGTGGGGAGAGATTAGATGTGCAGTGTGGTGAGTCTACTCCAGTACGCACTAATTCGCCGATAAAGTAAAGCAGACCTTGAAGCGTATTTGATTGTTCCGGTGCAGGAAAGGAGTTGTGAGCCAAGACATAAAGAAAAAATCAGTGATTCTGAATTGGGTGGCTATAACATGAGAATAAAGACAAAAAATACGATGACCGTGTATTAGAAGATGGATATGTTACACACAAAAGATGAAGCAGTGCAGTAAACACAAAAGTCATTATATATTTTTCTTCATTATGTTCATGTGTCTTTTTAAAATTGTTTTTTGAAATCAAATTGCCAAACATTTCTTTCAATAAAAGCCACCTAGGAAAAAGTACTCTTTGATCTGCATGAAGTGACCTTACGTATAATGTACTGTACATGCTAATCAGCTGTTCCGCACTGTGTAAGTCATTACACAGCACTATATTTTACAAGTTGAATTCTATCACAATCTGCCATTTATTTGCAGCAAACTACTACTAGAAAATCAGGCCCATTAAAATCTGTAACATTTCCTTCAACTTTGGCTCTAGGATTCAGCTTTCAATTAAGACCTTGATAGTTCATTGAGATGTAAAACAGGTGAAGAAAACTTAATTGCAAAATTAGGGTCTTTTGGGATGACATAATCCTGAAACCTAATGCACTATAAAATATTCATGTGTAAAAAAAAAGTATTATTAAGCAAGTTTATGAGTGGAGTTAACTGTATAATATTGTTTTATAATTAAAGATGTTTAAAAACATAGAGTTTCACCACATATGCATATGACTGTAAATAATCATTGTTCTGTGGCAAAATCTGGGACCCAGAGCCAATTCATTTGAAAGTCCTTCATATTCAGTGCTTGTACTAATTTGCTGTAGAAACATGATTGAAATGTTGGCACTACCTGTAATTACAGTATATGTATCATTATCTCGACATAGTGATGTTCAATAAGTTACAGATACAAAATGCATTTAAATGTGGCGGCACAAAAAACATTTCAGAAGTTATTGTACTATGGCTATGTAAAATGTATTAGACACACATCAGTTGCTTCAGTTACCATTTAAAAAGGTTCTTTTGACTCTTTTGGAAACAGTTCAAATGTTTTTAATACTTCTTCTATGCTTATTCACCTGTGTAAAATTAAAAAAATAGTCATAAAGAGTTTTTATTTGTGCAATACTATGTCGTATATGGCAAATATAATTAAAAAAGGATAGGATGAATCACGTGATTAGACCTGGCAAATGCAGGTTTGCTTAACCCATTTTTTTAATATCAGGATGACCTTTGTCAGAGCATACTGTATGTTCAGCTCCTCTAAATGCTGGCTGAGTTCTTTTGTAATTCACACTGTGCTTACAGCTAGAGTGATGCTACTAACCTTGGCAGCTTAAAAATAAAAATAAAACATCTAATTCAACCACTTTATCATTGCATTTTCCTTTTATTTCTGAAAATTTCCGTGAGTTTTATAAAGTCTTCCATTTCTCTCCTGCCAGGATGTTCCTTTGACATGATAATGAGCACATACTGTATACTTTGCCTCTAAACCTATTCATGCTCTTATTATGCACTTAAGTTCTTAGGAAAGTGTAATGAGAAGTTAATTTGGTAAAGAAAATAAAATTGAGTATTTTACATAAAATGTAGAATAAACAAAATACGACAAGGAGGAATTGAAGAACAGAAAGCACTTTTTCTGCAAGCAGAGGCTCTCCATCTCTCTAGGTCGAGTGGCTTCCTCTTATGATCTGTTTTCTCCAATTTATACCAGAAATGTTCTACTGGAGAGTGACAACAAATGAAAAACAGAACAAATTAAAAAGACAAATATCACCCACTGTGAATTAAATTGAATGTGTTCAGGAGGCCTTTGTTTTAGGAAATAAGTGGCTGAGAGCTCCCAAACGTTTGGTTAGACAAATAAAGCAATGAACTGGTGTCAAAGCGCCATCATTGATCTAACTTTAAAACGAGAGCATTTTATAACTGTGTATAAAGGGCAGCAAAATATAAATGTCGTGAAGGCCTAGTTACGGTACTGTATGTAGTACCTTTCAGAATTATTCATACCTTTTCTATGGTGTCCCACTTTATGAAACTGCAAAACGATGCACATGCATTTTTCTAAAATGAATATTTTAATGAAAACATGACTGCTCGGACCGAAGACAAGTTACAATAAATGTCACCAAAAAGTAAAGATATAATGAAATATTCTATTAGTATTTGGCAAAATACTTCATTGTTTCTGTAGTTTTTTGGTGAAATTTACTGTAACTTGAAATGTTTTGATTGCATAAGTACTCAGACCCATGAACCTTGTCTTTTTTTGATGGAAGCAATTACAGCCACAAGTTTGTTTTGGGTAAGCAAAAAAAAATGCGTAAATTAGTTGCTGCAATTTTTGTCTATCCTTCTCGGAGGATGTGCTCAACTTTTCTCAAGTTGCTTGGAGAGTGCTTACAGACAGTACATTTCACAGATTCTCAGTGACTGGGCCACTCAAGGACATTAACTTTCTTATTCTTAATCTACCGCCAATGAAGGTTTGGCTTTGGGTTTGGACCATTTTGATTTGATTGTGTGGAGAAGGCTGAGTGTATGAAAATATGAATTGCTACTTTAAACTGGAATGATTGTAAGCTTAAAAGCACAAAATGTGCAACCATACAAGGGCCTGAATACTTTTGCAAGGCACTTAATACTCTTGTGCCCAGTTGTGGTTCTGGAAGGCTTTAACTTGGAGCAGTTAAATTATTGCCTGAAATGGACCTATTTAGTATCTTTCAGCAATACTTTGGGTCAGGAAGATATATTGTAAAGAGGCAATGATGTTACCCCCAGGACTAAATTTCTACACCTCTACTACCTATGTACTACCCCTAGAGTATGGTTTTATTTGTCCCAGAGTTTAATAAATAAGTTTGCCAGATGCTCTTTACACTGTAAGCATTTTACATATTTAGATGAGCAAATCGTTTTTTTTTTTTTCAAGAGCCCTGTGTATTCTACAAATTTCCATTAGTTTAGCAAGAAAAGACTGCTTTAAATTTTATTGACATCTAACCCATGTCTACAATGTACACGTCTTCTGTCTGCCAGTAGACAAATGCCTCAGGCAACAATTTCAACTAGCCGTTTTTGGATACCTGGACATTTGCTAGTGTGCTGAATTATTACTGTAAACAGATTTGAGTCATTATTTAATGTTAAAGTACTATAAAACACATTCAAGTGTGATATATTATCTTAAGCAGCTGATTACCTAGTTTAGGAAGAAACCTAAAAAGTCAAGGAGGATGGTATGATCATTGCATTTGCATGATATTCAATGCTGTGCAGTGAAATTATCAACAAGCCAACACCAGATATTGGCATTAACTGCCCCAAACTATTACGCTGCTGCCACCAAAACAACATTTTACCTTAACATACCTATCAGCAAACTTCACTTTATTTTATTTTACTTCTTTATTTTGTTAACATGTACTCTGCCACTGCCAAATGAGACATGAGAAATGGGATTCTTCAGGAAACATAACTCAAAGTGGTGGTCTTGCCCAAGTTGGTGTGCAAGCTGGAGTCACACCATTACCCATCCTTAGGTTTACACGACGTCCAGTGATGCGCGGTTGTGTTCGCAGTTGTAGCTGTTGCTGTGTGGAAGAGACTTGTCAGGTGGTCCCTCCAAATCGCATAACTCGGTTACACTCCCAGTCCTTTTCCAGTCCGCTGCAGATGATCATTTTCATGCGTAAGGTATAGCCTGCAAATTTTAGCTCCCAACCCAATACCCATCACTGGGTATAAAAGTGCTGCGTAATTTTCATAATCCCTTGCTTTTTGTTAGCAGCTGTATTTTTTTCTGTGCAGTAATGACCCCTCAGGATGTTCCCTCCCAGACTGTTACAAATAAATGCTCGGGTGTGGGTGAACACGAGTGTCAGTAGTATGGTTGGAGTCTACTGATGGTAGATGTGTGGGGCCCTTACTGTCTGTGTCTTTGCATTGACTCTGCCAGCTATTATGCTGGTGAACACCCTTTTGCGTGTGCAAATTCAGAAGAACACTCTATGACATTTGTCAGATCAAAAAAAATATCTTCTACCAATATTTCACAACACTTTTGAGTATATTATAAATCTAACTGGTCAGAATTCCATGTTAAATTTAGTGATGAATTCTGTCTATGGGAAACGGATACAACAAAGAACTTACCTGGCTTTCAAATACTGTCAGAAATACTTTCAAATACTTTCAAATGTTATTCTCATATTCTCTAGAAAAGACACTTACTGTTGACACTTACTGTAACACACATAAGTAGGACTCCTTTGCAAATAAGGAAATGTCACCAGACTTTAAAAAAAATATACATTTCAGAGAAAGAATACAAATTATTTACATCAGATATGTTATTAGACTAAATCAGTGTGAATATTTGTAAAGAGAACAATTTATTTTTAATGTCTTTTCACAGATACATAGAAATATTCATTTTGACATACAATTTACAAAAAAAAGTTGAAAACGTATATTTACAGCTGTACATATAATAAAACAATCCGTATCAAATTTTTTTAACAATAAAAACTCACCAACATTCAGCACCTTAAAGTCGGTATTCAGTCTTCCTATACAAATATTAATTTCATACATATCACAATAGCCATATACATCACAGATGTATCTATGCACATCACAAAAAAAACATTAATACAGTAATACAAAATGATTCATTCTTTGTTAGGTAGAAAATGAGAATCACTAGTTTGGTGAAATTTAATCTCATTGAAGTATAAAGTAACCTCTTACTTTCAAGCTGTGCTTCTAACTGCACTGCATTGTAAATGGTTGCCAGAAGTAGTAATCTTAAAATTACTCAAAGGCCGCATTGCCACCTAAAAAAATGAGAATTTCTTCTCACTTTAGTAAATCTTTTGCATATGCACATTTCCATGGTCTAGCTTGAATGACTTTTGAAAATTAAAATGCCTTTATTTGAAGATGAACACTTTGAGAAGCTATTTAAAGACATCAAAATGGCTCTAGTAAACACCAATTCCATGTGGGCATTCACAGAGAACAATGCACACCAGAGCAGAAGTGATGCTTAAGAGCTGGGAATCTTTGTAATGTGACACTTGATAAATACTGCTTTCCTACTGACTGAGCTCGAAAAAAAACAAGAAAATCCAGCAAAACTTGGCTTGTAAGCCACTAAGTATAGGAACAAAAAATGGTAAACTGAGATGTATTTTTTAAATGGTTGTAAAGATCTTTGAAAAAACCATCTTACAGCATACTTCACTCTTTTTCAGTTTTACCCACAAGTACAAACTTCTCTGTATGAGCAGGAAATCTTGAAATATTTTTAACAACTGCTTCAAATGTAAACATCATAATCTCCAACTTCTTTCAAAATCTGTGCTTGCCCTTCTCTTACAACCAGACAAATACAATCACTAACTATTAAAAACTATTCAATATGTTAATGGATTCTACCACTTATTTAAATTATGTTCACAGAACGGGGTCAGGCCATTACTAAATACAGAAACATTTTCAGTTTAAAGTTCTTAGAACCTTAGAACACTTGCTTAAGAACCAGGTTTGTTTTTCTAATTTCATTGGCAGATTTTAAAAGGAAAAATAATTGTATATCTATACTTTGTGCATGATCTAATTTCAAATGTTCTGTCTTGATTAGCTTTTTTTTCTTTTACATAAAACTGCATTCTGATATTTTAAGAATGGCATGAAGGAAAAAGGTCCAATAAAATAAGCAGCATTTCAAGATTTATATCTCTTGAACTGAAAAACAGCTTGCTGTTCAGCAATTACTGTACCTCCCATGTATGCAAATAGAAAAATAATTTAGCCCTGAGGCTGCTAATTAGCACAACAGTACAGTACTAAACTTTTCACACAGTATTTTGATTTTAAATTAAGGTCAGTAATGAAACAGCACGTAAAATCTTTGGTACCAATATTAAGGGCACCTATTCCGATTTAAGTACATCCAAAAATGTTTCTCCACTATATATAAAATCCTTATTGAGCATGACTAAAACTTCCTGACCTGTGACTTCCTCCTAGGTTTTATCACACCAAGCTGTCACAGCTGATAAACTCCTTGACAGGTTTATGGATGTGCATAGCTGTGGTGCATTAAGGAAAGAAAGAGCCTTGTGCAGCTTTGTTTTATCAACTTCCCTTTCAGTGACAAGCCTGCCACACCAATCAATCTCTCAAGAAAAGCTGCTTGGGGCCACGGCTGCAAATCCCTTGCCAGAACAACACATTCAGCTCATCAGAAATTCTGATCTCGCCACCATTCATAACTAGAGGACTTGGTACTGTAACTGGGTGTTGGCAGACAGCATATCTTTTGACCTCTTTCTGAAGATCTGTTGCCATTATTTTACAAAGCTCTGAGCAAACTGACAGCTGCCAAGCTTTCCTTTTTATTTGACAACCAGCTCGTCCGCTACGCCTTTGACTCTTTTTAGTTCAATCAGTATGGAACTGATTTTACTTTTCGAATTCAGAACTTCAAAAATCTCATATGCTTGCTTCTTGTTTCATCATAACTTTGCAGTCAAAATGTTTTCTTACATTCACTGACTGTATTTCCTCAATCATTTCAGTTATCAGTGCAGGTCCCAGACGTCTTCCTTCTACATAATCATCCCAATTACCAGTTAAAACTCTCTGATCCCATGCCAAAGTGATTATATTCCATCATTGAGGCAAACATAGTCCAAAAGAGATCAAGGCTGTGTGCATTTAGTAGTTGTCAATTTGAGAGCACCTTTGTTGTGCAACATCTTCAATGTTTTAAACTCCAGTGGCATTCTATGTGGACTTGCATTTGAGAAGTATCTGTATTTGAGTTCATCATAATAGTGGTATTTAACTGGTCTTCCTTGAGAATCTTTTGGAAAAGGCCAAAATCCATACAGGTGGATCTCGTCACAAAAGCGTGTGGCCAAGGTGTACATCAGAAGTCCAGTGCTGGGTCGTTTGATATTAATTTTGTTTGTCAGCCAGTACCTGTAACAGAAACAAACAGTAATAAGAAAAAAGTACACAATAACCTCTAGAGAAAAAGCGACAGGCAATTGTAGAAGAGGCAGAGTCCCACATATTGTACAAATGTACATTTTTGAAAGCGAGCAGTGGTTGTTTTTTATCAGGTTCTGTTTTTGTCACTTCAAGAAACTAGGATAATAATAATTTTTTACAGTGCCTTTAAAAGCCATCTGAAAACATTTTACAATTATACTGTACATACTACATAGTGATTCATCTTATGTTAATTTGCAAATATGCTGCAATTTCTTCGTACATTTGTTGCTTTGATGATTAAACCACAAGGCAGCATTGGATGCAGAGGACAAACTTAAGAAACTACTTTACACTGCATTGTGAACAAAGAATTTTCATTCATTTTAATACTGTAATGCACAATGCACTTATATTTCCATAGTACTGGGTAAACAGTTATTTATAGTGCAATGCCTTTAATTCTGTATTAGATATTTTGCTTGTATCAACAATCAAAAGCATCGCAGAAAAAACCCCAAAAGACAATAAAAACAATAAAAGTATAGACAACCTAAAAAATAAATAAGAATTTCTTTCTTATACTACATTAACACATTTCTTGAGAACTGTTTTATTTAGTTACTATACGAAGACAAAGAATAAATGTCCCCAAACATTTCTTATAGAAGTGTCTAGACTATTTCTGAGTTCCAGAACTTGCCATTGTGAGGATGTTTCATTATTCATTGATTCACTATACGGTGACATATTTTAGAATACCAACTGGCTCTTTTTTAAAGAGCATAACAGTACAATTAAACAAAATTAAATTAAAAATGACCAAACCAAGAAAACCAGGCAAAACAAAACAAATAAAACCAAAACCAAGAAAACACATAAGAAGATAAAACTGTCACAAAAAAGCCTTCTGACCAACACGATTTATTTGGGGTGTTTTAAGAGCTTTGGAGAGTTGCCACTAAAGGCCTCTGTCACCCACAGAGAGCAGGCAAACAACATGAACACACAGTAAACCAGCTGAGCAAAGGTCAAGCGAAGGTGAATAAGCAGATAGAACATTGTCAAGTTAATGAGGAGCCAAGCCATGTGGAGCCTTCAGCTTAAGCAGAAGGACTTTAAAGTGAACTGGAAACCTGGCAGGAAGCTAGTGCTGAGGGCTCCAAGACAGGTAATGTGACCAGTTGTGCATGACCTAGTGATGTGTCTAGCTTCCTGGACATAAATCAAACTTAAAAAAAAAGTTATACTAAGAGCCTCCTGCAAGTAGGATGTTACGATAATTATCCTTGAAAAAATATTTTTATTCCATCCTCTAATTTTCCATTAAAAAACAAAATAGCATAGGATACAGACACGTAATAGTGTCCAAGATGGAACAAATTAAGTCTTGGCAATTTTGAAATAACTTACCTTCATTTAAATATTTTAATGAATATTTAAATAAGATCAATTAACTACTATAATTAATTAGGGGGCGGAGCGGAGCGGTGGCTCTGTGGCTAAGGATCTACGCCGGTGGCTGGAAGGTTGCCGGTTCAAATCCCGCGGCTGGCAGAGGAATCCTACTCTGTTGGGCCCCTGAGCAAGGCCCTTAACCCCAACTGCTCCTGGGGCACTGTATAAATGGCTGACCCTGTGCTCTGACCCCAAGCTTAGTATGTGAAAAGACGAATTCCTAATGCAAAACATTGTATATGGCCAATAAAGAGATCTTATCTTATCTCAAAAGTTGGCAATATGAAATCTCAGAATTGTATCACCAATTGTGATTATATTCTCACCATTTAATAAATCATTCCACATGCTAATTATTTTAGCACCTCTTCAGAGTGGCATGTTTCTGTTCATAAAAGTGCATTTCCTTTATGAAGCAAGCAGTGAAATATACAGTTGTGGGCTCTGTCTATAATCATCATCATCATCATCATCATCATGACACTCAAAGTGTGTCTTTTTATGAGTCAAAGGTGATTGATGAAACACTAAACATTTGTCTTTTCTTGCATGATTTGGAGTAAATCCAACCTCCCCACAAAACACATTGTTTAATGTTTCCTGATTCACCATAAACCTCCACTTCTCACAGGATATGCCCTGTCAGACAAAGTTCATGTCTATTGATGCTTTATGTAAATTACTTTGCCTTTTCAACAAAATTCCATCAAATTACAAGCCCCATGTAACTTGATAAACTTCAGAAAAGTAATAGGGAGGTTTAACAATCCTGGTAATGATTGTTATTTGGTCATGGGTTTTACCCAAACAAGTGCACAGAATGAAGCAATTGAAGACAGACAATGCTGGTGGAAGAGATCAATAAGCAAAACTAAATTCACTTAGTATACAGTATACTGTACAATTTTAAACTCAGTACAATGGAATAATTTAGGAAGTATAGCATATAAAATTTTCTGGTTGGTGTATGATTGTCATTAACATTATTAAGTGTAAGACTAGAAAATTCACAATATTGCGTAGATTGAAGGGATATTAATCAAAACTAGAAATAAGTGTATTTATGATCAGTGCTCTTACATACAAACAGTATTGGGACAATCTCCAGAACCAGCATAAAGTTCAATATTTAAGATGCCATGAGTTTACAACACAAAACAAACTAAGGAAGGACCTCAATTTTTAATAATTAAAATTGCACTTCAGATGTATAGATTATGAAAAAAGCGAGCAATATAAAGACTCAAATCATCTTTTCGTCACAGACAAAACAAGGTAGGACAGGTTCAAGTTAGCTGAGGAATCGAACTGTTCAGCAAGACTGACACGAGAGAAACACTAAAAACAAAACCCAAAGCATCTCATGTTGCAGTGTTCCTTGGAATAACATTGATCAAAGGACATTTGACCAATGGTCCAACATCTTCTACTGAACAACAGACACTAAATGAACTCCTGCCACCTGATAGGTAACAACAGGAAAGCTACTGTTTGTTTTACGTCTGCCAAATGCCGCAGCCAGACCTGACTATGAATCAGCCACGCTGCTGACAGACAGCTGCTACCAATGCCAAACTAAAGTGACTAACCACCTGCACCAGTCAGTAACACTGCTCATCAGGAATCTCTATTTCAAGGTTCACATTCTTTGAAGAAAGCTGGAAACAAATGATAACAAAATTAATATTTAGTTATCTTTTTATTGTTTTAATTAGGTTTTTCCCACAGGAAATGGGTTTAATTATGCCTATTGACATCAAGAGAAAAACAAGTCCTTAACTATAACACAAGTATGCCAATTCCAATTCATGATGAGCCAGAAAATAATTACTCACAAGTATATCTGTAGGTATATGAGATTAGGAGACAACTATTGAGAATGTGCTTTACTAAATGGTGGTAGCAGGATACAGAAGAACAACAGAACTGATTTCTTCTGAGCGTTAATTACACTATCTACAGTATTCCCATTAACCCACAGAAACAGAGGACTTATCTGGGGGCAAACCAATAGGAGGGAAACTGCTGCTGTTAAATTTCCACTAAAATAATGTCTAGGTATGCAATTTCCATATTCAAGCCAAAATAGCTAATTGGGCCAGGCCTGCTTTCCTGGGCATTTAGTGAACAAAGACCACATGACTCCCCCAAGGATGGGACAACAGCTAAAGGCAGAGCCTACCTCCTAGGTAGACTGGAGAAATCAGGGTCAAGTACCCAGCTCACAGTATAACAGTACAGCACACCAGTTATGAATCTACAAAGTCTTAGCCACTATGCTACGCTGCCCACATACTGTATACAAAAATGTTGTCATGTCCCATGTCTGCAAGACCATTTTCACACATAAATAGCACATTCATACATAATAGTATACTTGCGTTTGCAGTCAATATGTTGACGGGTGCCGTGCTACAATGAATGCAATGTGGTTCAGGCTGAAAGATGTACAAAATCCAGTGATCAAAGGTACTTCACTTTTCTCATTACAGATGTCACCATTGACTTATTAGAAAATTTTAGTCATCTTCTCAACACTATAAACTACAGCAGGAGTCAGCCAAATTACTTGGCAGGAGATCTCAACGCAGGAGTACTGTTACTATATAATCATACTATGACTTCTATTAAAATTCAAGGAATCAGCTTTTACAATTACCATATAATTCTTCCTCTGTTAGAAAGAACACCATCATTCTGAGTGACTATATTCAATGGCTATTTAATATTTCACATAAGTAAATGGAAACAATTATTCTGCATAAATAAAAGCTTTTAAGAATTCAATGCCAATATTACAAGCAAAGATTCTAATTTTATTCAATTTAGTATGTTTTCTACTCAATGCCCAATCTCTTATCAGTGTACCTGGGTACTACAAAAAGTTTCTCTAGAAATACTTGGACCATGGAACAATTTATCTATCTGTGTCAGTATTATATGTAACTAGTTAAAGAGTTGCAAGTGGAACACAGTGATAGTAAAGATACAAACACATTCCTCATGCAAAACTATGTAGTGCATGTGCGTACAGCGAACAGCCTATAGCAGATAATCAAGAGTAATAAGCTTTTAAGTGAGATCAGACGAATGGGCATGAGTGAGCTATAAACACTGAAAACACAAGATGACAGAAAGAGCAAGACCAAGAGCAAGAAAGAAGCAGCTTTTTAGAGGAATACATCTTATCACTAAGTGTTAGTTGCTAAGATGTCTATGAATTACAAGAGTACTGGAAGGTGGAGACTGGGTATTCTTTAAATTGGAGGGAGTTGAAGCGGGGTCAGCTTGTCTGTAGAAGGAGGGAGTATGTACCTCAGTAGTAATTCCACTGTAAGTGGGAGGTACTGTAGCTGTCTGCCTAACGCTCGGAGCCCACAAGCGACAAGGGCTAGGGATACTGCAGTGTGCAAGTCGTCAGAGAACTAGAGGTAGTTGGAGAAGGAACACTTCGGCATTCAATTACAAATGTGCATAGCCTGGTGTCCAGCAGGCACTGGTATCACTCCGCTCCAGTAGTATGTTAGCTA